GATCTCTACCATCTTTATAACAGATCTTGTGTTGATGGAAACATTGATAAGTGCCAAGTCTGAATGGAATCGGATGTTAATTTCGCGTTTTATGAGCTTCATGGATATTTAAAATTTTAACCCTTTGTGGGGGAGACTCCATAAGGAGTGGACCGACATATCCCATTTCCACACCAGACCTTGTGTTAATAAAAACATTATGATTTGTGTAATTTGAAGAGAACCGGATGCTTATTTCTAATTTTATGATCGTTTTGATTATTCGAAACTTTGACCCTTTGTGAGGGAGGTACCAGAAGGAATGGTCCGATCTCTACCATCTTTATAACATATCTTGTGTTGATGGAAATATTGATAAGTGCCAAGTCTGAATTGAATCGGATGTTAATTTCGAGTTTTATGAGCTTCATAGATATTCAAAATTTCGACCTTCTGTGGGGGAGGTACCAGAAGGAGTGGACCGATATTGTCCATTTTTGCACCTTACCTAGCACTAATGCAAATGTTAGGATTCGCAAAGTTGGAGCAAAATCGGATTATCGTTTCCCTTTCGGTGCAAAAAAATATATATTTTTTGAAAATTTCGACGTTTTGTGGGGGAGGTACCAGAAGGAGTGGCCCGATGTATTCCATCTTAACACCAGACCTTGCGTTGATAAAAATATTACGATGTGTGAAATTGGAAGACAATTGGACTCTTACATCACATTTTATAAGAGTTGTAATTATTCAAAATGTTGACCCTTTGTGGGGGAAATACTTAATAGAGTGATCCGATATTATCCATTTCCGCACCAGACCTAGCACTGTCGCAATTATTAGGATTTGCAAAGTTGGAGCAACATTGGATAATCGCTTCTCTTTCTGTGCAAAAAATATTTTCTTTGAGAATTTTGACATTTTGTGCGGGAGGTACCAGAAGGAAGGGTCCGATATTGCCCATCTCCGAACTCGATCTAAGTTTGAGAATAATATTATGTTGTACCAAGTTTGGACCAAATCGGATACTCCCTTCGAGAGTTATCATGCGCACCAGCCAGCTAGTCAGAAGGGGCAGACATCGCTAGATCGACTCCAAAAGTTCTAAAACGGATTTGATCCAAAGAGACCTAAGCTCTAAAACCGTTATTTCAATGAGGGACGTATTGGCCGTATCAAATGATATATACCCTCTCTAGCCATATGACTAAGGATATAACAAATTAGAAAGTATCAGTCGATTTTGCCGGCAGATGTGTAACCCTCGGCCAATTATTCGATTATATTTCAAATTGTTGACCCTCTATGGAGTTAGGTTCCGAAGGAATGGGTCAATATTGTCCATTTCGTATTGGTCCCAAATAAACTTGATATAAATGCTGCCAGATTTTGACTAAATTGGTTTCTTCCATAACTTTGTAAGGGATATGTGATAATTTTTAGAAAATACCAGCCAGCTAGGCAGGCGGACGAAGGAGACCCTAGATCGTCTCCCAAAAGTCCTAAAACGGATTTGGATCAAAAATGGACCCAGGGTCTAAAGCCATTATTTCAATGAGTCACGTTTTGGCCGTATCAAATGATATCCTCTCTAGCCATATGGCTGAGGATATAAAAATATTTTTTTTTATAAATTCCCTATAGAACCCCCCACAGAAGACCTTATTTATCTGCTTCTCCTTAAAACTCATCACACATTATTAGTGATTTGAAACAATGCATCATTGGTTTAATTTTTTTTTTTTTTTTAACAAAGTCGTATTTTTAAATATTTTTTCTATTTTTTTTTTAGATCAATCGTTGTCACATATTTAAATGCTATTATTAGTTTTCGTCTCTTCTTATTACTATTGTTGCTGTATTTATTTTTTTTTTTTGCACATTTTGCAAAAAAATTGTGTCACTCGCAAAAGTCAACAGCTTTATAATTCCAAGCTGATTAATGATCTCTGTAAGCTGTCGCTCGATTTATCGATAATAGATTTAGTTGGTTTTTTTATTTTGTTTCGCCTCCTTTTTGGCGTGTGAGGCAGACAAACAAACATGCACACAAATAAACAACAATTACAACTATGAGTTTTTGTTTCGTTCAAAAAAAAAAAAAATAATTAATCACAATTTGTTGGCTTTTATTCTGGCATTCTGTCGATGGTGTTTTTTTGTGTGGAGATTTTGATGATAAGATAGCCTGGCTGTGATGACAAGCATTGATTGATTTTTTGTATTTTTTTTTTTTTGGTTTGTTAAATGATTGATTATTTAAGACATTCATTATGCCGATAATATGGGGATTATGTTTGTTATTATTTGCAGAAAATAGTTTTTTTTTAAGTTGTTTTGGATACATTCGGAAAAAAGTGTCACAACGAATTATATGGAGTAATGATTTGTTGCTCTAAAAATAGGTTGAATGTTTATTTGGCAAGTTTGTCGCTTAAGTCTTTTGTTTGGCACATTATTAAATACATCAGTTTCAGAAATTTGTAGGAGCGAAATGTAAGAGTGGTTTTTTTTTCTTGTTGCTATTTCTATATGACCCATTATAGATTGAGAGAGAGAGAATTGAGAGAGAATTATATTTTTCTCCATAGAGAGAGAGTCTGTGGTAATAAAATTGCTACAAAACGTTGGATACCCATCTAAATTTGAAGGACTTTGAAAACCGTTAAAATTTACCCATCTTCTTGAAATTGTATGAATCTATAAAAAATAAAAATTTTATATAATTGTAATGGGCCTCATTGAAAAAATGTTTCTTTGGCAAACCCAACGTCATGACATTTGGGGAAGATTTACGAATGCGTTTTTGTAAAGGCCGACAAAACAAAAAATAGTGCATTTTTTAGGATTTTTTTTAGATACGGTGCCAAAAATTCCCGAATTCATTTAGGAACGTTTGTGAACATTTTCAAAAATATTTTTATGAGACTCGCATGTTATACAAAAAAAAAAAAAAATAATTTTAGGGAAACCACATAAAGAAATTCTTGGATGTTTTTTTTTTTAATATTATTAAGGTCCCCAAGACAAAAATCATAGATTTGTTCAAGAATATTTTTTAAGAAACCCACATAGAACTAAAAATTTATAAAGAAAAGCCCAAAAACATAGATAAATTGCGGGATCCAGAGACAAAAATCGAGAAATGTTAAAAATGAAATGGAACCCACTTCTATAATGAAAACCCAGTAAAGAAAGTCTTAAAGTCGGGCGGGGCCGACTTTATGAAACCCTACACCACTTTGCTAATTTAGTAGAGCTCCGCATAACAATCAAAAGTTTTTATGGGAGAATTCAATCATACACTCTATGATTACAATTATAATTTAAAGTTCAAAGGACTAAATATGCCGAAGCATTTGTATCTTTTAAATTCGGACTTGTGTTGCCCATTTGGTGCACAATTAATTTGAAATCGGATAAATATATATATGTGGGAACTATATCCAAATCGGAAACGATCTCGATAAAATTTTGCAAAGATATTTCTGTGCTGTCTTTGATATGTTTCCCTGAAAATCCTTGTTACGGAGTGCATATTACAGCTGTGGGTAACAAATATAACAAATCGGATGAACAATATATATGGGAGCTATAGCTATATCTGAACCGATCTTCAACAAATTTGACATACTGGCTTCTAGACTCAATTCGATCGTATGTGCCAAATTCCATCCCATTTGGGCAAATATTAGACGTTTGGTGCACAATCAAAGGTAAATCGGATGAAGTTATATATGGGAGATATATCCAAATCTGAACCGATCTCGATAAAATTTAGCAAAGGTATTTCTGAGCTGTATTTGATATATTTCCCCAAATATTGTTGTTACAGAGTGCATATTACGTCTGCGAAGGACAAAATTGACAAATCGGATGAACAATATATATGGGAGCTATAGCTATATCTGAACCGATTTCGATCAAATTTGGCATACTTATTTTCAGGCCTAATTTGGGTGTATATGCGAAATTCCATACAATTCGGACTGATATTACACGTTTGGTGCCCAATAAAAGGCAAATCGGACGAAGATATATATGGGAGCTATATCTAAATTTTGACCGATTATCTCCAATTTCAATTGGGTTCGTCCTTGGGCCAAACAAATGATTTGTGCAAAATTTCATCTAGATAAGGCAATAAATGCGACCTGTACTTTGTTTACAAAAATACATGGACAGACGGACGGACGGACATGCATAAATCGACTCAGAATGTGATCCTATGCAGATCATCAAAAGGAACTATGGGTCTATCTCGTTTCCTTTTGCCTGTTACAAACAAATGCACAAAGACATAATATCCTGACCACCTTGTGGTGTAGGGTATAAAAAAGGGTTCATATCATCTGTATCAGTAAATCATCTGATTTGCCTTAAAGTATGCACCAGTTTTTGAAGAGTCGTCTTTTCATACATATTTAGTGTTGGATATCAATTATGAATGAAAACGGATTCAAAATGATAAAAGAACCCAATTCCGGAGACCACAGATATCCTAAGGTTTTAAAAATTATATACTTTCGAGTTCAAAGTCTGAATTTTGAAATTCCCCCCTTGGATCCTTCGCTATATATATAGAACCTCGGACACTGGTGTAGTTGTCCATTTATGGATCACTCTCTCTCTCTCCTCTGATCTGCACCAAAAAAAAACTACTTACTTGGTAATAACTTAATTATTTCAACATTTCCATGGAAGGTGGATTACAAAGTCAGCTGTTTTAATTACCTGCAAAGAAGCCAAAGAAAATCGTAAAGGATTAGTGAGGTTAAGTTGTATTTTGAATATAAAAATGAATTTATAATTTTCAAGTGCTTACGAACTAATTAATTCTGAATACCTGTTGAAAATTGTGTTTGAGAAATCTTAGGTAGCAAAACGTCTTTGCATGGCCAATCTTAGGTAGAACCTACACCTGAGATTTGAGCCATCAAAATTCCTATGAAAAATTTTAATATCCTTGCCAAGTGATATAGTCTTTTTTATTTATTTTATTTTTCTCTTTTTCTTTGCAGTTCTTGAAAACAAGTGAAAGAAGAAACATGTCCCAGGAGTGTTGAAAAATAATTCGAATTTTTTCAAAATCCCAAAAATACTAGAAAAATAATTTTTACCACAAAAGTATTACCAGCGTTAAACGTCCCAATATTCCACGTGTCACAATGAAGTTCAAAGTGAAATTACTATTATTTACCCTAATATTGGGCTGTAGTTGCCTAGCCTCGGCCTATTCCGATGTGGAAGATCCCACCGCGGAGGGATATGAGGCCAGCGCCAATTTAAGTTCCTCTAATGAGGCATCGGAGGCCAATGAAGAAATTTATGACCCTGCATTGTTGCAACAACAGGTAGAGGAGGCGAAGAAAATTCTGCACGATTTGGATTTGGAAATGGAGACAGAAACCGAAGTGTCCACCAAGACAGTGCGCAATGTATCGGATAATCAATTGAATGCGGGAGGGGGATATGGTTCTGGGGAAAATTCACAAATGCCCAGTGGTGAGGATTATGAAAATGAAGAAAATTTCAAATCGGATAGGGAGGGCAGGTTATTGCCCAGTCCACCACCCACCCACATACCCGATTATGTGCGACAACAAATGAAACCCCAAGATGACTCTCAGGAACACTTGAATCTATCACAATCCCCGGAATACATGGATGAGGGTCACAATGAGCCACAGCATTTGAGGAGCTCTCTGCAAACGGCCACCATAGATTATGAACAGCCTCAATCCAAAGAAAATGAGGACATTGTCCCCTTGGCTATGCGTTACTATGATGATGATGGTGATGATGAAGAAGCCAAGGGAGGGGTGACGGCAGCCGCCCTACATGACACAAGTGGCAGTAACAACAACCACACCGACAATGACGAAGATGATGACTATCATGAAAGCGGTGTTGTGGGTGAAACCAATCGCCTAAACAATGGACCAGTACCCATGCCCCAGCAACAACCTCCGCCGCCTCAGCCACAACAACAACAATGGCCCCAACAAAGATCATTTGCCCTGCCAAATGAGCCCTCATCACAGAATAGCTCTGAAGAATATTACGATGAGGAAGTGTCATCCAGAGAAGATGAATTGATGGCAACCACGACAGCTCCTGCATTGCCAGCAGCAACACCCACACCCACAACCAGTAGCCAAAGTAGCAGTGACAGCCATCCGACAATGGTGATACTGGCTGCCGGCTTTCCCTTGGCCTATCAGCCAACCACAAGTGCCCCAGGCCCAGACACACGCAACAATAATGGTCCACCAGCAGCACCAGCACCACCTCAACCACTAATGACACCCGCATCTCCAACTCTGGGGCCAACAACACCGCCATATCCCATGATTGCCTCTGCGGCAGCAGCTGCAGCCGCCTTGCCAGCAAACAGCTCAAGTGGTGACAAAAAAGGCAAACAAATACCCATTGTGGCCACCACTACCACTGCATCCACAGCCACAACAACCACGACCACTACCAGTACAACAACATCCAAAACGCTACCGGCCAATCCCCCACCCCAGCCGCCGCCAACCACCAGCAAAACGATTAATGCCGTTGCCGGCACCAGCCGTCGGCATCTGTTGCCCCACGAACAGTTGCGCAACTACATCGAAGATGCCTACATTCGGATGCCATTGGCGGTGATTGTCGATCCATCGGCCGAATCGCTGGAGAAGACGAAGGCCTTGTGGAACGAGGCATTGCGTGCGAATTTGAATATCAAAATTATTTTGGTTACATTGAATGAGTCGGGTAAGTTGGACCGAAAAACGAAAGAGAAGAAGAAAATAAATGTGGGAAATGAGAAAAAATTGGGCGTATATTAGGGTGGTCCGGGATTTGTTGAAAGGGAAATGGAATAAAATATGGGATGATGTTGAAATAAAAATAAAGTGATCAGACCAAAAAATTAGAACCAGGAAGTTGGACTCAAAAAATCCGTCCCATGAGAGGGAAATGTAATATATTAGGGTGGCCATGGGGAGCTAGAGAAAACAAAAAATAGAATTAAGACCCAAATTGAACCTAAAATGAATGAATTCATTAAAATGTTAAAATCAGACTTCATCCTCGCCAAGTGTAAAAAATTTAATATATTAGGGTGGTCACAGGTCTGGGGAAGGGGGTGTGGGAAGAAGGTATGTAACCTGAATACTGAACCTTTTGAAATTAAAATCATTTTGAAGAAAATTTGATTCCAAAGTATGCCCTTGGAAATCTGTGGATTCGATTTTTTATAATTTATATTAGGGTGGTCTAGAGGGAAAAATAGAGTTTAGGTTCAAATTGAACCAAAAATGATTTTATTTTTAATTTAAACTAGAACTAATCCTCAGCCAACTTGAAACTGAAACCATACCAGTTTGAAGTGAAAGACACATCATAGAAAAAATATATTCCAAAAGTAAGCCGTAGAAATGTGTGGAATCTAAATTTTTCCACATACATTAGGGTGGTCGGGAGTATCAGAAAAGGCTCAATAACAAATGTTGTAGCGAAAATTTATAAATTATGCCGAAAATTTAGCCAACCAAAGTATGAGACCAAAATATCTGTCAATCATAGAAAATTGCATATATTAGGGTGGTTATGAGTAAAGATTTGGAAATAATATTCTATCAAATACTTCGAAAAAGTGTAGCCCAGAAAAAAAAACAATGGTAAGCGTTAGTCAACCTAAAAAAAATAATATATATTAGGGTGGTCCCAGGTCTAAAGAGGGGACAATTTATGTAAATTGAACCCATATCAGTTTGAAGCGAAAGACATATCGTAGAAAAAGATATATTCCAAAAGTAAGCCGTAGAAATGTGTGGAATCTAAATTTTTCCACATACATTAGGGTGATCGGGAGTATCAGAAAAGGCTAAATAACAAATGTTGTAGCGAAAATGTATAAATTATGCCGAAAATTTAGCCTACCAAAGTATAAAACCAAAATATCTGTCAATCATAAAAAATGGCATATATTAGGGTGGTTATCTTTACTCATAAAGTTGGAAATAATATTCTATCAACAGGCAACGTCATTGAATGAAAAAAAGCTACTTCGAAAAAGTGTAGCCCAGAAAAATAAAAACGTTAGCCAACCTAAAAAATTATATATATTAGGGTGGTCTCAGGTCTAAAGAGGGGGGCAATTTATGTAATCTAAAACAATATCAGTTTGAAATTACGCATATAATAGATTCCTGAGGTAAGCCCTTGAAAATCTGTGACATCAAATTTTTTTATATATATATTAGGGTGGTCAGGGGTACTATGGTATTGGGAAGAAATAAATTTCGAATTCCAAGAAATGCAAAATGAATAAATTACCCACGGAAATTAGCCTCTCATAATATCTGTCAATTATAGGAAATTGCATATATTAGGGTGGTCAAGAGTTGAAAATAATATGCGATAAATATCCGAATCAAAAAAAAACTTGCTTCAAAAAGTGAAGACAAGAAATTCGGATGCATGTGAGAATGTATAGTACATTAGAGGGGCCATGGGAAAAACGAACAATAGGGAAATCAAACAATTTAAATGGGGTTCAACTTAAACTGAAAATAAATTGATTCTTCTAAAATAAACAAGTTAAAAAGCAGTAATTTCGGCCGGGCCAAACTTTGAATACCCTCCCCAATTTGGAACGAATCTGATAATTTTCAAAAAAAAAAAAATCCTTAAAAAAATTCTGTTAAAATTTTAAAAATACCAAATAATGCCGTTATATTGGGGTCTATACGACGTGGGCCTACATAGGCATTGTTTGTCATAAGCCATTACCATATTCAAATTCGAAACTTGAAATAAACGATGAATAATGTAGCTAAAATCATCAAAATATCGTATATAGGGAGGTACCGTTATATCGGAGCTGTGCGAAGACCTGGACCAGCATGGAAAATTTTCTGTCACAGGCTGTAGCATCCATTACGAACTTCAAATACCACATCTCAAACGATTTCGGTGGGTATTGTACCTAAAATCGTCAAAATACCGAAAATATGGAGGTACTGATATATGGGGCCTATACGAAGACCTGGACCGGCATAGACAATTTTCTGTCACAGACTGTAGTTCCCATAACGAACTCTAAATACGTAATTTGAAATAATTCCGGTGAATAATGTCGCCAAAAGCATCAAAATACAGAATATAGGGAGGTACCGTTATATGGGGGCTATACGAAGACTTGGACCTGCACAGACAATCTCCCGTCATATGCTGTAGTATCCATTTCGAACTTCAAATACCAAATTTGAAATAATTCCGGTGAATAATGTCGCTAAAATCATCAAAATACTGAATATCGGGAGGTACCGTTATATGGGGGCTATGTGAAAACGTGGACCTACATGGCCCATTCACGAACTTAACCTGCCTACTGGAAAAATAAACATGTGTGCAAAATTTTAGCCATCTATTTCAATTCATTCGAAAGATTACAACAGACAGACAGACGGACATCGCTAAATCGACTTAGAATTTTACGCTGATCAAGAATATATATACTTTGAGGCCGGGTGAGGCCGTTATATGGGGCCCGAACCAGAACGTGAGCCTCTATATAGTGTTGTCATCTACCAAATCTCCTTAAATACCAAATTTGAGACTATTTCGTGGGTAAATGGGACTAGGATTATAAAAATACAGAATATCGGGAGCTACCGTTCTGTGGGGGCTATACCGAAACGTGAATATATTCTATGTTCCGCCACGGGAACTAGAACCCATTACGAATTACAAATGTCAATGTTTAGATAAATCCGTGAAAAAATGATCGAAAAACTTCCGAATATTTGGAGGTACCGTTATATAGCGGCTATACCAAAACGCGGACCGATATATCTCATTTTCAATACCAATCATCGTAGACACAATACAAATTGTTCTGCCAAATTTTGAAGCTCTACGCGAAATAATGTGGAATCGACTTCGAATTTTAATTAATATACCCTCCTTTTTAAGGTGGAGGGTATAAAAATTAAAATCCAAAAGTAAGCCTTAGGGTGACCACAGGTCAAGATAAAGGGGAAGGTATGTAAAGTGAACCCTGAACAGTTTGTAATTTCGCAAAAAAAGAAATCTGATTCCAGGGACTTTCAACGCAGATTTTATTTTTATAAAAATGGTGGACTTTTATTTGAAAAACGTGAATTTTGAAAATTAGTTTAGGAATTTTAATCGTTTTTTTAATATTTTTTATATCGTGATTAATTCTAAAACATTTTTTAAAACTTTAAGGACTTCAACGTAGATTTTAGATTTTTTAAAAAATTTGAAAATTTGAAAAAAAAAACATATTTCCGTTCCAGATTTTTTAGAACCATAAAAATTTGGAATTTAAAAAAAAAATTAATGGATTTTTTTTATAAATAGTATTTTTTTATCATTCTTTGGAACTTCTATCGGGATTTTTTTTAATAAACCAGTTTCAATAAATGGGGTTGCGTTTTTATTTTTTTAAAGAGTCGGTTTTTGTAAAAAGACTGTGAGGTCTTCCATCGTATAATTTTTTAAAAATTGCGATTTGTTTTAAAATTGTTTAAGGTATTTTAAAAACAAGATTTTTTTTGTGAATTTAACGCATATTTTTAGGAGCTTCGGTTGTGGTTGTGTAAAAACTATGGGAAAATTATGTTTTTAAAAATCATGGATTTTTCAAATAAAATATATTTGGGGATTTCCATTGTTGATTTTTATAAAAAAAAATGTTAATTTAATTAAAAAATTATATATATATTTTTGGGACTCCTATCTATTCTAAATTTTAGGGCTTCCATTACCGATTTTTTAAAATATTATAGTGCCTTACTTCCATGGGGGATTTTTTAAAAATATTTTTGCAATATTTACTTATACATTAAAAGCCACATCTTCGGACCATCTTAATATGCAAATATATTTCGCAAAAACAAACATCAACATCATCATATTAATGAGAGTAACATCATCAAATTTAATGTTTATTTACATTTTTATTGAGGAAAAACACACAAGCAATGGGAAATTTTTATGGAAAAACAAGATTTGCTGAAACTATGCCACCACAATGAGACTTTAAAACATCACCGGCATTGGTGTATGTGGAAGTCTCTTTAAGCTGTTATTAAGCGGTTGTAGTTTTATTTTTATTTTATTAAAACGAAAAACCAGCAGAATTTAAAAAAAGAGCATTAAATACATATCAAAAAAAATTGAATTTTTAAAATCAATCTATCGAAAACATCGAATATATCTATAAAATATGAAGTTCGAAATAAAGAAAGTCTATAAATGGAGTGAATTTCCCTAAGAATAAATTTTTTGTTGTATTGTTCCTTTTTATTTTTAAATTACAAAACATAAATATTTTCTGTCATAGTAGAATTGGTTCAAATTTGAAATTTCAACTTTGTCAAAAATTAAAATGCATCTCTGCATTAAAAATTCCCTTGTTTCTCGCAATTTGTGTCTCTTTTTGAACTCTCGGTCAAATCTCATTTTATTTTCTCTCTCTCTCTCTCTCTCTCTCTTTGCAGATATCCCAGCGGCATTTAATTTCAACAACTCTCGACAATTTCTGACCGGCTTGAACAGCATTAAAGAACACGAGGGCGGCGATGCCTTCCGTGGCATATCACATGCGGCGGAATTGGTGCCCTACGACAGTGCCGTATTTATATCGACAGCGACACTGGCCAATCACACGGATCAGGTGCATGATGCTGCCATTACGCTGCTGAAGAAAAGAATAAGGGTTGGTTGAAATATTTCCCTCCTTCGATTTATTGGCAAAATATTAATTTTTTTTTATTATTTTTATCTTTTATTTTTTTCCAACATCAGCTCTATCTCATTTGGTTCGGTGAACGTGCTCTGAGCGAAAATGAAACCCAAGAAACGGTGGGTGGAATTTTGGGTGAAGTTGCCATACGTTCCGGCGGCGAAGTGCTGCACATTGTGGGCAATGAAAATTCCATGGAATTGGAGGGGAGTACGGTGAGTAATTCGGAAAAATATTAGATATTATTAAAAAAAGTTAAATATTATTAAATACACCGTGGAACAGAACAAAAATAATTACAGGAAAAAATCCCTGTAGAATATCAAAGTAAAGGCAATTTTCGTAAAACTATTATACCCAGATGTAAAGATTATTCTGCGACTTATAGTGAAATTTGGTGTAGAATAATTTTCCCTTCGATACTTTGAGTCTAAAACGAAGTTTTATGTTACATTCATGCATCAACTCGAGAAGAAACCGAAGAAAAATCCATAAAAAAATATATTAAATATTTATTTTTGTGGCAAAATTGAACCAAATATTTCCTTGATATGCAGGGTGAGGTAAAAAACTGCAACAAAGTCGAAAGCCACACATTTTACATTTTTTTTTTATTTTATTAAATGAAAGCAAGAAATGTCGGAAATAGCATCAAATTTTAAAATAAGTTTGGATTTGTTCGAATTGGTCATCTTTGGCACGAATTATGGCTTTCAAACGGCCAATGAAACCGTCACACGCTGTCCAAATGTTGCTGGGCGGTATTTTGACCCATTCCCGGCAAAGCGCTTGCTTGATGTGATCGACACTTTGGTATTTTTTATTGACAACCTTGCTTTCCAAAATACTCCAGACACAATAGTCCAACGGAGATTGGTATCCGGAGATTTTGGTGGCCATTGTGCGCTGGAAATGAAGCGAGGAACCTCACTTTGTAACCATTCTTGGGTGGCGCGTGCTAAGTCCCGTTGTAATGTCCAAGGTCTGCGGCCAAAATGTTTGCGTGCCCAAGGCTTTAATACACTCTCCAGAATATTTTCGCGATAATATTCGGCATTTATTCTTATGCCACGGTCAATTAATACGAGCGGAGAGTGACCATCGGCTGTTATGGCGGCCCACACCATTACCATGGCCGGCGCATGAGTTCTGGTGGCCAACTGAAGGTGCACATTTTCAGCTGACCTCTTTGGCAATGTAAACACGATCATTTTGTTTGTTTACAAACTGCTGGACAACGAATGTTTTCTCATCGGGGACGGAGAAAACCAAATTCGGCAGTTCACCACTTTCGGCCAAACGAAGCAACTCTTTAGCTCCTTTGAGTCTATTTTCTTTCTGTTGCGGTGTAAGTTCTTGCATTTTTTTGGAATTTCAATGGCTTTACCACCCCGAGCTCATTTTTCAATATTTGCCGAATGGAATATTGCGATATGTTCAGCTCACGAGGCATTTCAGCTCGTCGGCCACTGCGATGCCACGGGTTTCGATAAAGTCTCTTTCCGAACCATTTCTGCTGATGTTGCTGTTTTCTTCCGCCCACTTCCTTGACGTCGGGTAACTAGCGAAGGTACGAGACACAAACGATTTATTCACATTTAAATACTGGAGTGCTCTAACGATAGCCACTTGTGGTGGTTTTCCAGCCAAATATAAAGAAATCACACTATCACGCTTGGATTCCATCACAAATAACTTTCTGAAAAATCTCACCAAAATGCTTTTGTACGCTTGTAAACAATATAATGAGCTGTCACTGGAAAAATTTGAACAGCTGTCGAACGAGTGGCTTAAAAATGACAGCAGTCTGAAGTTGGTTGCAGCTTTTTCATCACACCCAATATAAATTCCTGGTATTTATATAAGGTTTAGACGTTCGCCGTCTTCTAGGATCTTTTGTAGAATTTTATGACAAATAATTTTGTAGAATATTTTGACTTGCTACGTTGCCGCTTAATGGGAGTTTTTCAGAATTTTTGTAAAAAAAAGTACCAATAAGTCCCCTTTTGAGACTCGCTTGAGGGTGAAATTGTTGACCAAAATAATCCTTGTATTGTTAGCTGTAATATTTCCAAAGGCACTATATACCTAAAATGTATGGATTCCTAGAAATCTTAATCTGAAAATCCCCTTCTTTCGCGTTGTGGGCCAAGCATTTCTCTCTGAGCGACAATTAACAATTCTCTCTTTTAACACAGTTATTATGCCGTGAGTGTGTCACTCAGTGTATAAACTATTGTGAATGATTGTTATTTGCCCATGTTTAAACCACTGTCATTATTTACCTCTAATTAAAACCCGTTTTTACAAAAAATAACGAAATCAGATAAAATCATTCACAATAACCACAAACACTCACAATTGGCTTCTTCATGACACAATGGGCATCTTCGTATTAAAATGTAAACAGTTAAAGTCTCAATTTTGCTCTCATGCATGTGTATCTCTCACTCTCTCATTCAATTATAATAAACAGTGTGGATAATTTAGCGATTTTCTTATTGTTCGTGCTATTTATAATTAAAGCCAAAAATGTTTAAATTAAGATTTTTTTAATTTTTTTGATTTCAATTATAACTAAATTTACAACAATTAGTTCCCAATCAAACCCATTTATTAAAAAAATAAAAAATTCTCTTACCCTCTCTAATACACCCATTTACCCAACCATATTCTAAATACTCCAATGGCACTCCATTTTTTTTTCTGTTGGCTCCAAACTGCCATAAAATCGCAAAAAACAAAGTAATTTAATCTAAGAAAAAAATTGAAAGTAAAAACTATTTGTTATGCTTGCTCAGCATCAGTGCAAAACGGTTATGACAAAAAAAACTCTGTTCCGCCGCCATCCCTCCAACAATGATTCGGCATCTTCATCGGTTTGCTAATGGCGGTAAAGCTTGGCACTTGCCAGTTGCCAAAGTGAATGGCATGAGTATCATTGATATCACACGATGCAGCAATATGCCTCCAGTTTCTTTTACGCATTGAAAATTTCTAGCCTATGGTTGGTTGGTTGGAGGAGATTTTGAAATTGCTTAGATTACAAAATTAATGGGTGACACAAGCACACGCACACACACACACCCATTCAGAGATGCAATTGAAACATTTTTTAGAGAGGTATGTTTATTTTGTGGACTCAAATGAAAGTGAAAATATAAATAGATAATCCAAAGAAATTTGAAAATATAAGTCTCCTTTTTTATAATATCGAAACTTTTTCAAATATATATTTTCCCCCGTTTGGTTTGTATTCATAGGTCTGTTGCAGAACTTGTAAAATTTTGCATTTTTTTTTACGAAAACCCCTCATAAATTATAATTTAATAATAACTATTCTTTCCCTCCCTTCTTCCAGCTCACAATTGTGGCCGATGCGCTGCGTGGCTCCCAGGAATTGGATGTTCCGGTAGACACTACACTCTCCAGTTTACATGTGAAAATCGATAAACTGATGCGGAGGGCGGTATTGGAAACGCCCAATGGCGGTTAGTTATGGAACATAAAAAAAAACACAAAAAAATTAATATAATTTTACACCACCCTCCCACACTTTTCTTAATTTATTTTAATTGTTTTATAATCATATTTTTTAATATATGTTTAATGCACAAATTATATTTAATTAATTGTCTGTACAATTTTCTATTTCACATTCTGCCTCTATCTTCCTTTGACACAATTCTTCTTCTTCTTAATGTTTAATTTTATTATTTTTTTATATTAAAAATATAAATATGTTTACTAACAAAAAACCTAAAAAACAAAGTAGTTAAGAACAAATGTTTACCTTAATATTATTAGGGTATTCTTTAACCCATAATGAGCTTTAATTATTGAAACAAAAAAAAAAAAAAAACGAAAATAATTATTTCAATAAAAAATATATGTGAATAATTTAACAAATAATATTACAAAATAACAACGAAGAAAAGATTAGCTTTGGAAGAAGAAAAATCATACAAAAAAATACTCAAAAATTGTCACTGAAAACTAAAACACATTGGCAAGGGATCGAATTTTAAGGGTTTACCCTTAAATTTCCGGAATTTCTATTAAAAACCACACTTTGTATGTTTTATGGCATTGTAAATGGACAATATTTACACTTTCTGCAGCAAAATGCCTTCAAAATGCACCCCTGTTAATATTGGATCATTGTGAATGATCAACATGAACTATGTGTCATTGATGAAATACGAAAAAATCCCTTGATTGCCATATCACATTAAAATGCGCTTGTATGCAATACCATTGTGAATGAACATGATTTTCCATTCTAGCATCAAAATAGAGAGAACAATTTAAAATAATGAAGATCGATAGAAAATTACTCAGAAATGAAAAGTTATTTAATATTTTTTGGTAGAAATACAATCCAACGACACTTAATTTAAAATGCTAAACCAATCATAACAAGAGTTCCCTATATGAAGCCAGGAAACCCCGTTAGCTCTCATGTAATTCCTCGTTCTCTCACTAAATTGCCATTAAAACGTGTTGACAATTTAGCGTTTTTATAGTCGACATTTTTTTTATTTTTGTAAACAAACTACAGGTCGCATTTATTGCCCGATCCAGATGAAATTTTGCACAAGTCATTTATTGGACCTAAGGACGAACCCTATTGAAATTGGAGATAATCCGTCAAAATGTAGATATAGCTGCCACATATATATCTTCGTCCGATTTGCCTTTTTTGTGCACCAATCGTGTAATATTAGCCCAAATAGTATGGAATGTTGTATATACGACCAAATTAAGCCTTATGCCAAATTAGATCGAAATCGGTTCAGGTATAGCTATAGCTCACATCATCCGATTTGATTTTTTTATCCTCCGCAGCCGTAATATGCATTCTGTAACAACGATATTTGGGGAAATATATCAAATAAACCTCAGAAATACCTTTGTTACATTTTATCGAGATCGGTTCAGATTTGGATATGGCTCCCTATATATCTTCGTCCGATTTGTTTTTTATTGCATACCAAACGTGTAATATTACCCAAATAGGATGGAATTTGACACTTACGACCAAATTGAGCCTAAAAAACAAGTATGTCAAATCTGGTGAAAATCGGTTCAGATAAAGCTATATATATTTCTTTTTTATGAAGCTCTATTAAATATGCAAAGGATTGTAGGGTATCATAAAGTCGGCCCCGCCCGACTTTTAGACTTTCTTTACTGGTTTTCATATATTTTAGCGATTTTGGAGAACTACATTCGATTAACTTCTCATTCAGGTTATGCAGCTCTTTTTATGTGTGGTAAAAATTTCACAAGCAATTTTACACAAAATTCCATTCCATATACTATTGTGAATGGGCTTTATTTTGCTAATTAAACTTTGTTAATAGTTAAATATTTCAGAAGATGTAAAATGCTTATTTACCACCTGAATAAGGGTAACACTCTTCATTCACAATAGTGTTTCTTTCATTATCTTCTTTCGTCACGTTCGTGTGATCTCACCCGCTCTCACTAAGTTGACATGGCCAATGTTGACAATTTCGCGCTTTTATTTATCTTATGACGTTTTGTAGTCTAATATGGGGAATGTGTAAATAATTTTTGATGATTGGATCTAAGTATTGAATTTATATTTAGTACAATTTTGAAATATGATTTACAAATTGTCGAACATTTATTTTTTTTATTTATATTAAAATTACCATAAAACACACTGGCTCTCTCTCCCTCTCTCAATAATTTGCCATGACCAGAGTTGACAATTTCGCGATTTTATTCTTCTTTTGACGTTTTGTAATATTATATATTACAAAATGTCGAAATTTTTTTTTTTTTTCAATTTCTTCAATTTCCGTTCAGAAGTTAGGGTGATTTCCACAGACAGACGGAGGAAAAGGCTAAATTGACGAAGAATCTTAAGTTGATGGAGAATATACATAATTGTTGGGATCTAAAATCTTAATTGTAAATCTTTATTAGTTACAATCGGAATGACTTATCTTAGTATACCCTCCATAGATGGTTTTAAAAGTTAAAAAAGAGAATTCAATTTATTCACAATAGACTCATTCAGTATAAATAGCCATTCTCTCATTGAATTATATAAACAATGTTGACAATTTAGCGCTTTTTTTAATTATTCTGGTAACATGTACAAGAAAACGTTTAAAACTGAAAACAGTTTATATTTAATTTTAAACGAAAAAACTTTACAGATGAACATTTTGACCATTTCATTTACAATTATTACAATAAATTTCACTTATACGAAGAGATAATATCGTCGTTTATTAGACTCATGTATTTGGGAGGTTAATCGTTCCCTTAAAATAATACCTTTGGGTTTAAACAAAAATTAAAAGTCGATCAAATCGAATATATAAAAATCGATTGCAAAAAGGCAACTCTGGGATTTTTACCGCAGACAGAAACGGGTATAGGTGCCCCTACTTACGATTTAGGATCTCTACACCTTCGATTCTAAATTGTTGCGAGTTTGTTATACCACTGATTATAATTCCACAAAATAGAGTTCACAATAGTTACTTATTTTTTTAATTTTTTTTTTAAATTGTGAACACTTTTGGGCTTGATTACTCTATTTGGGCGCCAATGTGTTTTGTTTGAGACATGTTACGAAAATATGTTTATTTCAATGCCAGTTTTTTCTTTCTTTCTTAATTTAAATTTTCCCAGTTAGATTCCAATATGATTTCTATTCCAAATTTAGAAAAACGGAGATTAAAACAATTTTAAATTTTCTCATTTGAAAAAAATTTTTTTGCAGATTTTTCGTTGAAAAAAAAAAATATTTCTAATTAGAATGTGCTTTATTTTTGCAAGAAAAAAAGCTAATTTATTTCCTTAATTTTATAAATTCCAAATCCTTTGCAATATTTTTCCTTTGTAAATATTATTTAGCCTCACTTGTCGTTCTCTTTTCCATAACCCAGTCTATAAAAACTCCTAACATTGTCCAGTGTCTTCTTTATTTTGTCTTAAAAAAAAATCCCGTATTTCCTTTCTCACAACCTAATCCTAGTGTTTATTTAGTACAAAAACTTTATTATTTACGTATATATATATACATATTTGTGTAATATTTTTAATTATTATTTTATTATTTTAATCATAAGTTAAACTACAGATATTTTATATGTTCTGTAATAAAATGAGAAATAAAAAATATACAATAATTTTTAAGCTTAACCCTACCATGTTGTTGTTGTTTTATGTTTAAATGTGTGTATCTTGTCTTTTGTCCTGTATTTTATTTGTCTGCGTCCAAAAAAAATGCAATTTGTTTTGACTGTACAGCACTACCTGCTAAATAAATGCACCAAACTGTAACCCAGCTGCTTAAGTAAGTATTTTTTAAGTAATAACCCTTTAATAAAAATATATAATATATATTCAAACTTATTATAACAAATTTAAAAAGTATTAATATAAACAGTATTTTTCTATCTGAGAACAAAATTCCATTTAACTAAGAAAATCGCGAAATTGACATCACTACATGTCATATCAGAAATAACGGTTATTTGTTGTGTGATCAAATAGTTCTAATTTCGATATGGCAACTCTACAAGCACATTGCAATGATCTTTGACATAGTCTCAGGGGAAAAGAGAGAGAGAGAGAAAATGAAAAACAATCTGGTAACGAAACAATTCACAATTATTTGACATAAAATGTTGCCAATATCGCGATTTTTTTAGGCAAATGGCTCCCAATGTGGTAAAAAGTGTTGTCCATGCAATGTAATGCCTACACAGGGTGTGATGTGAAAAACTGCAATCAACTTTAGACTGCTGTCATTTCTTAGCCACTCGTCCGACAGCTATTAAAATTATTGCAGTGACAGCTTATTATATTGTTTACAAGCGTACAAAAGCATTTTGGTGGGAATTTACCAGAAAAAAAGTTATTCGTGATGCAATTCAAGTGAGATAGTGTGATTTCTTTGTATTTGGCTGGAAAAACACAAGTGGCTATCGTTTGAACACTCCAGCATTTAAATGTGAATAAATCTTTTGTGTTTCGAACCATCGCTCGTTAACATGATACTCGTAGCGTAGCCCGACGTCAACGGAAGAAAACAGCAACATCAGCAGAAATTTCTCGAAAAGTAAAGAAGCCACTTGATCGAAACCCTCGACGCAGTGGCCGACGAGCTGAAATGGCTCCTGAGCTAAACATATCGAAACAATATTCCATTCGGTAAATATTGAAAAATGAGCTCGGGGTAAGCCATTGATATTCCAAAAAGTGCAAGAACTTACACCGCAACAGAAAAAAATAGACTCAAAAGAGCTAAAGTGGTGAACTGAATTTAGGTTTCTCCGATGAGAAAACATTCGTTATCCAGCAGTTTGAAAACCAACAAAATGATCTTGTTTACTTGCCAAAGAAGTCAGCTGAAAATGTGCACCTTCGGTTGGCCACCAGAACCCAAGGGCAGATTATGGTGATGATGTGGGCCGCCATAACAGCTCATGGTTACTCTCCG